GCGTCGCGTACACTGTTAATCCACACGTGACTCCAGATGAGCTCTCACAGAGAGAAAATGAAAACGAAACTTAACTGTAGCAAACTATAAAAGCAACACTTCACACTTGTTTTGCCAATACAACGTGGTGTGTCTGTCGTGACAGTAATGAATATTAATTGAAGTTGCACAATAGAGCGCGCTGATTGGTGTGAACCAAGCCTTACTCATGCATTAATGCATCACACTGTAAGACGTAATAAGACACTCTGGCACAGACGCCCAGTCTGCACGCTGGAATACAACGCTATTATGTCATGGCCGTGACGCAGCTTCAAAAATTCGTTTCAAACCGGAAGTACGAATTTGCTTGAAATAACGCAAAAACAACCAATTTACACTTTTTTGTGAAATATAGGTGTCCTAATAGTGTTTTTAGCAGTGTGGGACACATATACAACTGTCAACAGCTCAAAAAATGTGTTTTGGTGTTTCGTGACCCTTTAAGGAACTGCTTCGACTAATTTAGCTGTTAATGTATGGGGCTTATTTTCCTGGAAATTGCTCACTGATTGGGCAATGAACAAAGAAAAGGAAAAAGCAGCCAAAAGCTGCCAAAGCAGCTTCTGCTAAATATTTGCATTTACATTACTAGGTTTCTATATAAGAGGCTAAACTCCTGCTGGAGAAAACATCGCCCAACCATAACACTTCTTCCGACACCTTTTACTAACTTCTCACACTATAGGTTCATCCAGTTTTTATCCAGTTTGTTGATAAACATGTTTTCCATCAGACCTAAAAACTTTAAACTTGCTTTCAACACTAAAGTGAACTTTGGACAAGTTATTTGTCCACAACCTGCTCTCAGGGGATTTTAGGCATTTTTGAAACTTGCAAAACTGTGTGAAAACTGGAAAACTGGTTGCCCAATTTGATAGGGTTTGTCAAATAATTACCAAATTTACCAGCAGGTGCAGATTAACACCAATGGGAGGGTCTGAAGTTGTGGTTTAATAATAATTGTTGTTCTTTTAAAAAAGATTTGATCTTTGCTGTGCATTGGGAGAAAACCAAATTACCAAACACCTATAAACCTATGGAAATCACTGGAACAATTTGCCAGAACAACATTATGTGAATTTACCTTTATTTACCTTTGCCAGATGTGTAAACAAAAGGTTTTCACTGTTCTGTTGGACATTTTTGTTCTGACTCTCAACAGCATCCCTTTCAATCTTCAAATAACTAACATTCACCCAGATTAATTGGTGATTTAGACAGAAACAAGACAATGCATGGAGTCAAATAAGGGGACACATTGTAGCATTCCTGTAGTAGATGAAATCTAAGCTTTTAACGATGGCACTGAAAGGTTTGTTTACCTATGATAAAGCTGTGCCCATGAACTTTGAACCCTGGAAGATGATGATGAAAGCAGGATATAGTATCTGTTTAGAAAAGCGAGAGTGCAAGAATCGTATATGTATATACATCGAATGCTATTATTGAACTACAGTTGTAAGGGTGGTATTGGTAGTCGTTTCACCTTTGATTCGAACTGATATAGTGCATAGACCATGTTAGCTATAATGTTTTTATATTTTCAATGTCAGCAGTGCATGATCAGTTATCTGACAGATTCCACTTGATGTATTGATGTCCACACCTGTTTAAAGTTAAAATGCTTGACTAGGGAGTTTCCTGGGGTTTTTCCATCACTCCTGTCGCATTTTTCAGAAGCTCAAAAATTTAATGAAAATATAGATTGTCAACAAACACTCGCAGCTTAATGTTGTTAGGTCAAATGCTCTCTTTAAGAATGTTTTATGAAAACTGATCTCAGGGTGTGATATACGGGAACACGTCAGGAGACTTCTATGGACATATAGATTCCTGTAACAAATCTTGACCCTTACTGTTTAACATATATAAACTAAAGTCACACCCATTACACAAAGGCGACTTTTGTAAACTGCAGGACTGTGGAATGTTTACACAAATGTTCACAAAGCACATTTTGGATATTTGTGGCAGGAACTAATTCAGTTCCTGCCCGACTTGAACTCTAAACTAGACCGTAATGCGCAAAGTAATTTGGAGTAACTGGATTTGTTGTCACAAGTGATTAATGTGTTTTCTTGTTTATATATGTTGATTCTGCAAAGAGCTTCATTGGTCAAAGACTCTGTGGTCACAATCTGTGTTTGCATGTTTGTGTACTCTTGAAATATTCGTGAAGCAGAACAAGTGGTTTGCAAGACTTATTTCAACATTCCTCTTTCGTCTCAATGTTCTTTCATATGTCAGTCTCTGATTGAGTATGAATGAATTTGCTCTCATTACTGCTGTGACGAAGCTCATGCTTATTAACAAAAGACACTAATTAATCTCTGCTGGTACAGCAGAGCAATTTCACATGCAGTCAACTGGAAATGAAAGAAAGGGAGACAGCAGAATATTGGGGAACACAAAGAAGCTCTTGGATATTCAATCTATCCTAACATCCCTCCAACATTAGGTTATCAAGGAATGGATGTACTAAGATATTGTATTTAACTTAAAATACAATTCAAAAGGCACCTATTTTCGTAATTTTTCAAGATCTAGATGAACCATTTGAGTCTCCAGAAGGTGTTTGTGAAGTTTCAGCTTTAAAACCTATTAAATTACATTTTATACCTTTCAGAAGATTTTTTTTTTTGCTCTGAACACAATAGCTGTTTTTGTTGCCTGTGCCTTTAATGCTAGTTCTCCCCACCCACTGTTCCCATGTGCCTATCAGAGTGTGCCTCAAACTCCACCTCGGCTGCATCAGATAAACAACACAGTGACAGACATGATGGAAGCAGATCTCATGTAACGTTTGTGAGAAATACTACAGTAAGAACTTTCCCAATGATTATTTTATGTATTTGTTGTGGATTTAATGAGTCGATGAGAATTATGAATCACACACAATGCCAATACAAAGTTCATGCACACAGACTCAAACACACAAAGCGCATGGATGTTAATATCATCGGCTGTATGGATATTAGTTATGCTAATGTACAAATGTCCACAAATCAGGATTGAAGAATCTTCTTTTATAATTGTACTGGCATGTCTTGTATTGACATGGATGTCAATCAATTTGGGGGAGGAAACCTACATCACAGCAGGCCTCAAAATGGGAGGCATCTGGGTTTCACCAGCTAATTGTAAGTTCCTTCTTAAACTGGAATGTAAAGTCCACTCTAGGGGCTTAATAACTAGCTAGTAACTAGCTGTAACTAAATTTGGACTCACTACGGTTGCACATGTTCAGAAAACCTTAGTTAGTAGGTTAAAGCCTTTAAATCATTAAACTTTTTTTAAAATTTGCCAACTAATGCATCTATATATCTGTCCTATAAAATGAAATTATAAATCACATTTTAATAGCACATTAAATTACAGACATAATAACAGACGACAAAAATATTTAGTAGTGCATAAGTAGGTTGTAACGTAGAATACCTTTAAGTCACAACTAGGCTACATTTTACCTTATGCACTGCTGGTGCAACCAACCAGCCTAGGGAACAGGAAATAAAAAAACAAAAGAGAGACTTATTGGCTGCGTCCGAAACAGCATACTGGAGTGCGCATCCCATGCACGCTGTGCTATGATCCCATGATGCCTCGCAAGCGAATTCATGAATAGGAGTAAAGCGACGTGATTGACGCAGGTAGGTTACGTGACCATGACAAAATGGCGGATGTAGTACGTCCTAACTCCATTCATGCTTTTTCGACTCATACTGTATAGAACGTACTTTTCTAAAGGCTGAGTAGTTTGTTTAAATTCAAATGCAGTACCTACTGAGTAGTAGGCGGTTTCGGACGCAGCCAATGTCTTTATATTACCCCAATATGACTGTGGACACACTATACCTACACACTGTTCTGTCAAAACAACTTACAAAAGATGATTTTCATCAACGGTGCCCTTTAAGGTTGTGGTCACATTAATGGTTCTATCGGCTTGTTTGGTCCACTCCATACTGAAAAAGAAAGTGAAACACCTGGCCCTGGTTTCACTTACAGTGTTCACATTGCCAGTTGTAAAACAAACCAAACTTACTTTATAATCCAAACTGTAGTGTGTACTGGGCTAAAAAGTTGTTGGTTTTACATACATTTGATTGAATCTATCAAATGAGAGCTCATGAAATGCTTAAAAAGTGTGTAAAAAAATCGAAACAGTGGCTGAAATTCCTTAATCCATTCCCATAAACAAAAAGGTATGGTCCTGTATAATACAGATTGTTTGATGTTCCCATTTTAAGTTAATTTAAAAGTAGAGGGGCACTGCTAAGCGGGGGTAAATACCCCCCCCCCCCCACCCCAAGAGATCTGCTTTATTAGTAATACAAATCCTCGCAAGGGGCCCAAACTCCTCAAATATATACTTTTTTATATAGGGTATTCCTCTTTTAAGCTATGTCTGCTTGTTTGGTATGCACCAGGATTGCAGCATTTACAACAAATAAACTAAACACAAAAGTTGTTTAATTAATCTGCCAATTTGTACTTATCTTAAGGTCCAAGCTTGAGTTAAAGTAATAGAGGTAACTAACAAAGTATCCACAAATAAATGCACTTAAGTATTTTCCATAGTGTATGTCATACTTTAACAATGTTTAAATATTTTAGGCTACTCAAAATCAATACCAAACCATCTTTAACTCGTTAAAGACAATTAAAAGTTCCTTATAACTTTACTAAATCATGCCTTTCCACGTTATCATTAAATCATATTATAAGTAATAAATAGCTTCAGCTTCAAAGGGTCCCGGTGAGATTATAACATCACGGTCAAAGTTATAACTCCTAAATGTCCTTGTAACTGGAGAGACTATGAGAGTATTGCAACACATACCGCTCATAGGCGCTGCGAGGCGGTTGTGCGCATGCGCCTCGGTTTCTATCACACGACGGATGGGAAGCTCACGCCACGCAGACTCACAAATTTACGGAGCCATTCAGAGCTCTCCATGCTGCTCGGTGAAGCGGGATCCCAGGTCGCAAACGTGTAGCACATTCTTACAACCGGGCTGGTGAATGAAACTCTCAGGTATGTGTTTCACAGAAGTGTTTACAGACCTCTGATTTGGATCGCATGGTCCTGCTGGAGAGAGTAGGGGTCCATTTAACTGTGCATCTCGGTTTTTTTTTAGGAACACAATGAATTAACCTGAACTCTGGAGGGTACAAGCACACTTTCTTTGTGGTCGTTTCACTGTTTCGGGTTAGCTACATCATTCGTGATGTCGCACTACGCGCATACCTAAAGATAGACACATTATGGTCGTTTAAGAAATAACTTACTGCTGTTTGAAAAGTTAGTTTGTGATACCCCAGTTCATTGTATTAGAGAAAGAAGTTGGTGGCCATTGTCACGTTGTTCGCTTTTGACCCCTTTGGTGTCTGTAGTTACGCGCGGTCACGTGCGCAAATAAGGGAGATGATTTTGGGAGAAGTGAAATTGTAAACAACGAAAACACAAGCTGCGTCCCAAATGGCACACTATACACTATGCACTCATGCACTATGTACTTATGCACTTACACACTCAACAGGAAAGTATATGTATGTAGTGTTGTCCCAAATGGCACACTTATGTTTTTTTACTAAGCGTAAATTCAAACCGTTTCCCTGATGACGTTTGACGGTTGCCAAATCATTGAAATAAATGACCATACTATCAAATGAAACCTGCCGTGAATATTGCCGCATTCACCATCGGGAGGCGCTATAATCATTCTCGTAGGAGAATTTTGCTTTAACCATCCAAAATAAATAAAGTTATTCAACATGTGCGTCCGATAGCTCCGCCCTTTCCGCTACGTAAGCAAACCTGCGGTCGTTGAGTGCGTGAAGTGTCCATCATTACACACTTCATTTTAGCGGCTGAATGAGTGCATCATCCGGGTAATTGAAGTGCTCTTATTATTTTTAGTGTTTTCAGTGTGAACGCACTACTTACACTATTTATACTACAAAATGGCGTAGAATAGTGCATAAGTATGCGATTTGGGACGCAGCTTATGTCTATTGAGGTTCTCCTGTATGGATTCTTTTATATTTTGGTGGATATTTGAAACACATTCACTCCTTAATAAGATGTGTGTGATGCTCGCATATCCATCTAGGTAATCACGCGCAATTTTTAAAATACATGCTCCCTAAAATGATTGTAAGACATCGTGTTCATTATTTTGGCCAGTTGTTAAGTATATTTCTTCTAAACCGTGTAACATACACTCAGTGAGTTTTAGGAAAATATGTTTGCTTTTGTCTAAATTGCAATTGTTTTAATTCCTGACATGAAACCAAAACTTGAATATACAGCTGAAGGTTCAGAGCCAACTCTGCTTTATTTGTCTATGTGGATCCACATTGCGAATAAAAAACTGCATGAAGCCTTTCATTATCTTGTTCTTTGTCTGAGGCGAGAACGTGATATTAAGTTTATCAGATTTTTATTGCGGGTTAAAGTTTCAACATCTTCGTTGCATCAGAAGCTTATTGGTGTCCTCAGTGACGTGAACTAATATTAAAAGGTTAACCATAGCTGACAAAGTCACCTTAGATTAAATCAAACCGATCCCTACTCAACGCATGGAGAACAACAATGGTTGGTAGAGAGATGTCAGTGAGGTCAGACTGAATTATAAGGGTACAATTGGTGACATGCTGGACTGCGAGTGGTACAAAATGCAGGTATTTGCATGGCAGGAACTTGATATATCTTTATTGTGCCTTTATGAAAAGTGAATTGAGGCACAAGTTGCACACCAGTTACCAAAATCCTCTGTTTAACTGTTCAATTTTTTTCAAAGAGCAACTTCTACCTGATATCAGCAGTAGATGCCGTCTTTTGCAATTCTTCATTCAACTTTGGCCTTCATTGAGACTGTGACGATACACTTGCATCACAAAGACTGTGTCTGTGATGTTTGCTTAAAAGTCCCTTTGACAGAGTTGTTTTTGTGTTCTTTGATATGTAGTTGACTGACGTAAGTTTCAGTGGTCAAGTCTGATTTGTAATTGATCAATGTTAATTGATCAATGTTCACACACAGGTTGTGGAAGGGGGTAAAGCAGTTCAGTGTTTCAAAAGGTCACAAGACCAATAAAAAGCTCACAATTGAATTGATATGTGCAAGATGCCAAACTTTCTCCGTCTAGCTCACAGTTATGAATATTATTTTTCTTTACAGGTATTGTTTAGCGATGCTAGGAGCTACGACCAACCACAGACTAACAGTAGTGTCAGTCTGGTAATTTGCAGGTATATGAATGGTTTCACTGTGTGTGTGTGTTATGCCCATGTATGAGGTGGCAAGAAAGGTCATTCTATTGTTGGCAAGTTCTGAATGTCACAAACTCACTGTTGCGCGTCAGAGATTTTAATTGCGTCCACTCTTTGAGTGCGCAGAGTCACTGGATGTGACATTGAATCTTGACAGCGCTATTGAGAATATTGTCTAACATTTTAGGCTGAGGTTTGATGAAGGATGAAATAAAAATGCTATAGTTGGGAAGGAAGATGGCAGCTTGAAGACATGACTATGCTCATTATACTGTGGGTGAGAAGTCATGTTTGATAAAGCAAGGTAATTTAAATAAGAATCTGACAAAGGGAGGTGTGTATGGCTTGGTGCCAGTTCGTCTGGCATTTCAACAGTTCTATTGTTGACAACTGTTTATTCTGTTGTGATAAAGACCTGCCAATGTCTTTGATGGGGGACATGAAAACCCCTAATGTATTTTAAAGACGTTAAGATGTATATGTTACACATTGCTGAAAACAGTACTATGAGCTGTAAGTTTTATCAGCATGTGGAAATTTGTTTTTTTTGTTTCTTTGCAGTTGTACATTTTTCTTCAAACGGCTTTAAAATTAATAATTTTTAAATGTTTATGTAGGTCTTTACATTGAAAGGAAACTTTCAACACTTTGATTTCTTTACTAGTTGGAGTAAGCCTCATATCCAACTCCCTTGCAAACTTTTTATTTGTTTGCAAGTGATATAACTGCTTTTATCAGCGAGGAGTAGGGCTGCGTGATATTGGAAAAACATGACTTGGCGATGTTTTGTTTTGCCGCAATATAAATTAAATTTCAGTAGCTTTGTTTGGAAAGATCTCGTTCAGTTAGATCAGCTGGGGTGATCAAGTCTCTTATCTGCACAGTGCCTCTGCACAAAAAAGCTAATAAAAAACACGCCTGTGTAATACGACTAGGGTTGTAACAATATACCGGTATGGCGGTTTACCACGATTTGAACGTGCACGATTATCATACCATGAACAATTGCATATCAACGGTTTTAACCCTTAAAGACCGAGACAGCCGCCCGCGGCTAAAAATAAGTATTGCTCTTAAATGTTTAATAACTTTTGATCCGCTGATCCGATTCATACAATTCAAAGATTGGCATAAAGAAGAGAATCTCAGCTTTCCAGTGCTGTATCACATAACGCGGACTTTTAGAGGCTCCGGAATCAGTGCGGTTACGTCATCAACATTTGACAACGCTGATTTGACAAAGAAACGCTCGTCACTGTGTCTCCGGACAAATCAGACATGATACATTGATGCATTGTCCCTCCTCCATGCCCAGATTGGTTCAAACTCGCTATATCACAACCAATAAGCATAGGTTTCGCTTTTGTTTGTGGACTAAGCTTTTTGAACAACACGGAATGAGAGAAAGGCATACATTTATGCGCGGCTAAATAAAACGCAAAAAAAAAGTTTTGCATGAAATAATTCTCATACTAAGTACTTTTGCATGCACAGCAGCACAGAAACATGACAAAACAGTGACACAGCAAAGACGAACTGCTGCTCTTGCTGTTTTCAAAAGACGCAAATGAAGATGCAGCTGTTTGTCTGCATTGCAGACAACCATATCCATAGACAACCATATCCATGCTGGCACATAAAACCTAAGGATGTTCCATATTGAATCTAGTTTCGTTATGTAACTATTTATAGTATAGTAAATATTTATATCTATTTTTTACTGAGGATTTGCACCATGTTTATTTGGACTTTATTTGGACTTCGACACATTATTTATTATTTTCTTATTTTTATTTGTTCATTGTAAGTGGTGTTGCTTATAGTAACTAAAAATATATTATTTGGAAAAAGTCAAATTTGCTTCACTGTTCTATTATTTTGTAACATTTGTAACATACCGTATACCGCGAAACCGTCAAACCGTGGTATTGTTTTAGACGATTATCATACCGTGAAAAATTCATACCGTTACAACCCTAAATACGACAAAGGATAAAAGTAATATAAACAGTGCTTTATGGTTTTCTGGCGAGTAAATATAGAAATTGAACAATCAAACATAAATTAACGTGTTAAACATTGTATAAACTATTTTAATCAATAATATCATTATCCAATCCTGCGGCGTGACTATTGCAGATATATAAGTGATATCAATGGTGCTCAAACAATCAATTCTTCAGCCCTAGTGCAGAGCGACATACGTTTTATTGCTTCCTCACACAAAACTGGCTCACGTACACTGTAAAAAATGCAGGGTTTCACACAATTCATTCATATTGTCCCAACACAAATCGATTAAGTTAACTTAACACTTTTAACACCCTAATTTATGTGCATTGAACAAAACTATTAAGTTGTCCCAATGTAATCTCTCAAATTGTGTTGTCTCAGCTCTTTTTAAATAAGTAGTTTGAGCAATTTAAAAAAAAAATTAGTGTATGGGGAAAATATGGACCAGTTTTCTAATAGTTGAGAAATTTTGCTTTGAAGCGTAAAATGTTGAGTGTATATTGTCAATGTATTTTTCATCTTTGGGTAGATTATTTCTTTGACTATCAATAGAATGGAACTCTCTTGCAGCCTCTTTTCACATGTGAACATTTAATGTTAGACAGATGTTTTCTCATTAGGAGGCAGCCATGGTATAGCAGTCAAACCAATGAACGATGGGGGAGTATTTAAGCCCACCTCCCGGGCCTCAAGTGGTGTTATTTTGTTTGTGAAAGAGCCTCTGAATTTGCTTACAATGGTCATTC